AGACGCCATTTCTGCCACCTCCAGCGAGATGCCACCACCAGGCACATATCCCCCCCCCGCCCCAGTCCGCCTTCTGCACGGACCATTCCCTCTGGGACACCCAGGTCCACACTTCCTTCACCCCCAACATCTCACTACGGCACCTTCCCCTGTAACCGGCGAAGGTGCAACACCTGCCCATTTACCTCCTCCCTCCCCAGTATCCATGGGCCCAAACATACCTTCCAGGTGAAGCAACACTTCACCTGCACTTCCCAGAATCTAGTCTACTGCATTCACTGCTCACAATGTGGTCTCCTCTACACTGGGGAAACGAAGCGTAGACTTGGCGACCACTTCACAGAACATCTACGTTCTGCTCGCAAAAAAGACCCTGAACTACCTGTTGCCTGCCACTTTAACGCACCACCCTGCTCCCTCGCCAACATCTCTGTCTCTGGCTTGCTGCAGTATTCCAGCGAAGCCCAATGCAAGCTGGAGGAACAACACCTCATTTCCCACTTGGGGACTCTACAGCCCTCCGGACTCAATATTGAGTTCAATAATTTTAGGGCCTAAACTCTCCCATATCCCAGCCCCCTACCCCACACACCAAGTCTTATTGCCACATAGCCTGCCATTACACACCCCCTGTTGTTAGTCACTAACAGTCCCCATTAACAACTATTCACCCTCCCAGCCTGATCATTAGCAACTCCTTTGTCTGTCCAACTGTCTTTCTCTCTCTTTGGGCTCTATCCTATGGTTTACACCCTACCCCACCCACCTCCCTATTTTCTGCATATAAACTGACGTTTTCCCAGCCTGGTGCTACTAGCATGCTCTCCTGCATTCTTAATTGAATCAGGGCTGGTCTCCTGGCTTGTGGTAGTGGTAGAGTGGAGGGACATGTCGAGCCGTGAGGTTGCAGATCTTGTCAGAGTATGATTCGGTTGAAGGTCCACAGCACCTCATGGATGCCCAGTCCTGAGTTGCTAGATCTGTTTGAAGTGTGTCTCATTTAGGACGGTGTTAGTACTGCACAACACACTAAGGTCTTATCAATTTGAAGGCAGGACTTCATCTCTGTAAAGACTATGCAGTACTCACCCTTACCAATACTGTCATGGACAGATGCATCTCTAGCTGGTAGAATGGTGAGGATGAGGTCAAGTGCATTTTTCCCTCTTGGTTCCCTCCTCTCGCCACAAACCCAGTCTAGCATCAATGTCCTTTAGATCCCAACCTGTTTGATCATTAGTGCTGTTGCTGAACCATTCTTGGTGGTCACCGTTGAAATACCTCACCCAGAGTATATTCTGCATCCTGCCACCCATTCCCGAGTACTGATGGTATGAAGTAATCAGCAGGAAATCAATGTTGCGGACTCTTAGGTTATATCCAGGGATGGCAATGGCATCTGAGACATTGCAAGGTATGAATGGGTGAGCATGACGCTCAGGCTGTTTCTTGTCTGATTTGTGAGAAAGCTTCCAATTTTGACACAAGGCCCCTGATGTTATTCAGGAGAACTCGGCAAAGTCGACAGGGCTGTTTTTGCCATTGTCATTGCTGGTGCCTCGGCTAATGTCAGGTAGTCCCATCTGATTCATTTCTTTTTTGACACTTCATAACAATTGCTACAACTGCGTAGCTTGCTAAGTCATTTCAGAGGGCTGTCGGGGTCAACCACATTGCTGTGCGTCTGGAGTCACACGTAGGCTAGACAGGTGAGGATGGCTGATTTCCTTCCATGAAGGACATGAGTGAACTGCAGGGATATTTCCAACAATTGGCAGTGGTTTCGTGGTCAACATTAGACTCTTAATTCCAATTATTTATTAGATTCAGGTTTCACCATCTACGTTGGCAGATTCAGCACAGTTCCCTGGAACGTTACATCTTTCCTATCCTGTAGGCCATCGTTCTGTTTTCTTGCCTTTATAATCGCCCTTATTTGTTTTCTGAAAAAGGTATTCTTGGACTAACTCCTCACTCCCTCAAATTGAATGTAAAATTTAATCCTAATAAATTCCTGCTACCTTGGGGCCCCTTCACAGATCATTAATCCAATCTTGTTGCACAGTACCAGATCTACTATAGCCTGTTCTCTGGTACATTTCAAAATATGCTGTTCTAAGAAGCTATCCTGAAAGTATTCCGGAAACTCCTCATCTAGGCTATCTTTACCCATCTGACTTTTTTCCAGTCTGTATGTAGATTATCACCACGCCATTCTATCAAACTTCTGGTATATATTTTCAGTATATCAGGAGGACAGAGGGATTACATAGGGAGAATATTTCTGGCTGGGAAGCCTAGCAATCACCTGCAGGTTGTAATTAACATTTGGCAGTCTGTCAGAGAGCAAAACACTTTGTACAGAGAAACAGGACTTATGATTCTATTGAAATTTTGAAGCCAAGCTGTTTAATGGCCGACATAGACCATAAGCAAATAATGGTCAAGATTAAAATAAATTCAGAGCTGATCTCGGACTCCATTTATCATTATCCTATCTTTAACAAAAAAAATTTTTTATTTAGATTGCACCTGCCACATCCTAACAACATTTCCAAAATGTTTCACAGCCAATGATTTAGCTTGAACTGAGTTACTGTTATCTTGTAGGGAAATACAGTAGGAAATTTGTGCACAAAATATGTAGGATTGAATAATTGGTTTCATTGTTGGTTGAAAGAAACATGTTGGTCAGAATTGTGGGAGAGTTCCCCAGATGCTCTTTGAATAGTCTGATGGGACCAGTTGCATCCACTGAATGGAAAGAGCGCCTAGAAGCTGGAGCATCCTGAATGCCTATTGAAGTGACAAACCGCGATAATGTGCTCAAGTCTTGCATAGGGATGGAATGTGTGACCTTCCAAAGGAGAAATGCCACCAATGAAGCAAAACCAAGCCTTAATAGATATTTAAACAACAGTACCACATCCATGCTCCAGTACAAACTTTAGCATGTGTTCTTTCAAAATCTGCTGGGAAAATATTGCAGTTTTTAAAAAAAGATTCAGTAATACGTCATCTGTGATATATTGTTTTGATGGCACTTTCTCAAATATTGTGCTAGTGAGGTGCATTCAGGAAGGTTCTGTGGAATCGCTTTTGAAGGTTTTTAAAGCCGCTTATGCTGGTCAACACAAAGCTAACTGCAGTTACGGAAATTAAGTAATTGCTGCTGAAATTATTTTTTAAAAATTAACTTTAAAAATAGGTGAAATTTTAGTATATAGCTTGGAACCAATAACTTTGTGTTGGGAATTGTAGAGGAAACTAACTATTTATAAAATATGCACACAGAAGCAGAAAATAACCACAGAGTATTCTGTACCTTTAAATAAAACCTCAACTTTGCTGGCCATCAAGGGTTCAGATAAGATTTACAAGGATGTTGCCAGGGTTGGAGGGTTGAGCTACAGGGAGAGGCTGAATGGTCTGGGGCTATTTTCCCTGGAGTGTCAGATGCTGAGGTGTGACTTTATGGAGGTTTATAAAATTATGAGGGGCATAGATAGGGTGAATAGTTGAGGTCTTTTTCCTGGGGTGGGGGAGTCAAAACTAGAGGGCATAGGTTTAATGTGGGAGGGGAAAGATTTAAAAGGGACTTCAGGGGCAGCTTTTTCACGCAGAGAGTGGTGGGTATATGGAATGAGCTGCCAGAGGAAGTGGTGGAGGCTGGTGCAATTACAACATTTAAAAGGCATCTGGATGGGTATATGAATAGGAAGGGTTTAGAGGGATATGGGCCAAATGGTAGCAAATGGGACTAGATTAATTTAGGATATCTGGTCGGCATGGACAAGTTGGACCAAAGGGCCTGTTTCCTTGCTGTATAGCTCCGTGACTCTCGAGTATAAGAGTTGGGACATCACATTCAGGTTGTACAGGATGTTGATGAGGCCTCTTCTGTGTAGTCCTGGTTGCCTTGTTATAGGAAGAATCTTATTAAACTGGAGAGGGTTCAAAAAAGATTTACAAGGATGTTGCCGGGCATGGACGGTTTGAGACATTAAAATAGACTGGAAAGACTGGAACTTTTTTCACTGGAGCGTCAGAGGTTGAGGGATACCCTTGGTCAGATTTATAAAATCATGAAGGGCATAGATAAAGTGAATTGTAAGAGTGTTTTCCCTAGGGTGGGGGAGTTCAAAACTAGCGGGCATGTTTTTAAGGTGACAAGAGGGAGATTAAAAAGAACATGAGGGGCAACTTTTTTTATACAGTAGTTCATGTACGGAATGAACTGTCTGAGAAAGTGGTAGATACAGGTGCATTACAACATTTAAAAGACGTTTGGACAGGTACATGAATAGGTGACGTTTGGAGGGATATGGGCCAAGCACAGGTAGGTGGGTTTAGTTCAGGTTGGGTACACAATTGGACCGAAGGGTCTGTTACCCAGCTGTATGACCCTGACTCCACATGAAAATTAGAAGACGTTTCCAGAATGAAAGTAGGAGGTACTTTATGCAGTGTATGACACATGGTTGAAACAAATTATGCAAATGGCAAGTGAGATAGATAGATTTTTATTATCCAAACCTAGTTAGGGTTTTGGAGTAAAGGCAAGTAGATGGTGTTATGTCACGAATCAGTCATGATCTCAATGAATGGTGGAACAGGATATTCAGAATCTCTCTCTTCATTGACTATATTTAAAGTTGAGGTTGGGAGATGATTTGATCTTTTTGGGAATTCAGGGATGTTGAGAGTGGCTATGAATGTCGATAGATTTGAGCTGGATGATCAGCTGTGATTGTATTCAGTGGTAAAACTGGTTTGAGAGGCTGTATGTTCTACTCCAATTTCTGAAGTTGTAGATTATGTGCAGTTCTATTAGGGTCCTCTGACCATTGGTCCATAAGTTATGGTGTTAATCTATCCCTCCATGTACTCTGTTCCAACAAAGAGTTGATGCATTTGAAAGAAACTGGAAACAGTGGAGTGACTGGTGGGCAGCGAAGTTATTTTATTGGTTTCTTATCTCTCTCAATTTTTTTCTCCAGAGCAAGTTTGATAACCTGTATGGGTGCCGAGAATCACTTATTGACGGTATCAAGCGTGCCACCGATGTTATGATTGCTGGTAAAGTAGCTGTGGTGGCAGGATATGGTGATGTGGGCAAAGGTTGTGCACAGGCTTTGCGAAGCTTTGGAGCCAGAGTTGTTATAACAGAAATCGACCCCATCAATGCTCTACAGGCTGCTATGGAAGGTAAGGATAAAATATAAGCTGGAGTCCACTGAACTTTGTAGATGAAACGTAAGCAATATCCAATCCTCTCTACTCTTTCTTGTAACTGAATGCAGTAAGTCCTCACTTATGCCGATGAGAGTGTGGGAGGAATGCTAAGTATGTATGCAGATGACACAGATTGCCCAGGTGGTTGACAGTGAGGACAAAGATGTTAGGTTACAGAAAGGGTCAGAACGGCAGATAAATGGCAGATGGAGTTTTAACCCTGATAAAGTGAGATGATGATGCACTTCTGAAGAAGTAACAACACTCAACAAGGGATTACTCCATAAATGGCAGGACTCTAGGAAGCTAAGAGGGAAAAAGGGATCTTGGGGTGCTGGTCTAGGACATTGAAAGTTTTTGAGAAGATTTGTAGCTCGGGTTGTAGATAAGGTTGTAGGCTTGCTCACCAAGCCGGTGTGTTTGATTGCCGATGTTTCGTCGCCCTGCTAGGTAACATCATCAGTGCACCTCTGGCGAAGCATTGGTGTTCTGTCCCACTTGTTATTTATATGCCTCGGTTTTCTGGGGTGGTTGGTGTTACTCCCGGTTCTGTTTTTCAGTGGTTTGTATATCGGGTCCAGTTCAATGTGTTTGTTGCTGGGAATTCCTGTTGGAATGCCAGGCCTCCAAGAATTCCTTGGCATGTCCCTGTTTGGCTTGTGCTATTATGGATGTGTTGTCTTTGTTGAACTCGTGTTTTCCTTTTGTCCATGTGAATCGAGACCAGTGTCTAGCAGGGTGATAAAACATCTGCAGTCAGACACTGGCTTGGCAAGCAAGTCTACAACCTGGTAGCGAGATAGATTAATAGGATAGTTAATGCAGCGTATGGGATGCTTGCCTTTCAGTCGTGGCATAGATTATAAGAGCAGGAAGATCATGTTGGAGCTGTACAGAGCTTTGGTTTGGCCACAGCTGGAGTACTATTTGCAGTTCTGGTCACCACAATATAGGAAGGAAGTAATTGCACTGGATGGGGTGCAGAGGAGATTCAGTAGAATATTGCCTGGCATGAAGCATTTCGGTTTTGACGAGAAGGTGGATAAGCATGTGTTATTTTCTTTGGAACAGAGAAGTTTGAGGTGAGGGAGGTTTGATGACTGTGTACACTACTATGAAAGCCATGGACAGGGTGAGTAGAAAGTAGCTGTTCTCCTTAGTCAAAGGATCACTAACAAGGGGGCATAATTTTAAAGTGAAAGGCTGGAGGCTTGAGAAAAAAACTCCATTTCTCATCTCCCTGAAAGCTTTGCTCGGCTAATTTTACAAAGTAATTTGACTGTAAAATCATCAGGTTTGTCCACAGCCCAAATTAAACTGTTGGCCTTGTTTCCAAGAAATGACATAGGTTAACTCTTGGTGAAAAGTCTGTTTCCTGGACATTCAGAAAAATGTCCGGGCAGCTCAATATCTTCCTGTTTCCATGTGGCTCATAAATAGAAATATGAATTTCCAACTCGACTGATAGCAAAGGCAATCCCAAAATTTTCTGTAGTCTTATGAATAGAAAAATGTGATCAAAGGACAAGAACAAGGAGATGATGAGTACATGCGTGATATTAAATGAATACTTTTAGATCTGTCTTCACGAAAGAAGCAGGTGCTATCCAGCCATGGTGACTGAAGAGTTAATTCAGTCACAAGAAGGGTTTGAAATTAATGAGATATTATACTGTCTGTACTTAAAGTTGACAAGGCATAAGAACTAGTTGAGATACACCCAAGGATCTAACAATGGAAATCAGTGAGCCACAGATGTTTGTTTCTTTCAGTCTTCCTTGGACTGCAGGGTGGTGCGAGAGGACTGGAGAATTGCAAACATTATGGCCCTGTTCAAAAAAGTTGTTCACGTTGGCACCAATGACATGAGGTAGTGAAAAGGGTGAGGTTCTGAGGAGAGAATATAAGTAATTAGGCACTAGGTTAAAAAGTAGGTCCTTGAGGATAGTAATGTCTGGATTACTCCTGGTGCCACTTACTAGTGAGAGTAGGAATAGGAGAATAAAACAGATGAATACGTGGCTGAGGAGCAGGTGCAGGCAAGAAAGTTACGCATTTTTGGATCATTGGAATCTTTTCTTGTGTAGAAGTGACCTGTATAAGAATGACGGGTTTCACCTGAATTGGAAGGGGACAAATGTACTGGTGGGGAGTTAGGAGGAGATTTGCTAGAGCTACGCGGGGGTATTTAAACTAGTAAGGAGGGGTCATCGGGATCCCAGAGAGGTAGTAAGTAAAGAAATTTAGTCTGAGGCTGGTGCAGTTGAGAAAAGGAGCATGTCAAGGCAGGCAGGAGCAAGGCAGAGAACAAGATAGGACTGATAAATTAAACTGCATTTATTTCAATGCAAGAGACCTGACAAGTAAGGCAAATGAACTTAGGGTATGGTTGGGAACATGGGACTGGAATATCATAGTGATTATAGAATCATGTCTCAGCGATGGACAGAACTAGCAGCTTGATGTTTCAGGGCACAGATGCTATAGAAAGGATAAAAAGGGGGGCAAGAGAGGAGGGGAGTGGCATTTTTGATTAGAGATAACATTGCTGCTTTACTTATGGAGGATACTCCTGGGAGTATGTCCACTGAAGTTGTTTGGGTGGAACTGAGAAATAAGAAAGGGATGATCACTTTATTGTGATTGTACTGTAGACCCCCCACTCCCCCCCCCACACACACACACAAATTGTCAGTGGGAAATTGAGAAACAAATTTGTAAGGATATCTCCATTATCTGCAAGAATAATAAAGTTGTAATGGTAGGGGATTTTAACTTTCCGAACTTACTACTGTCGTAGTTTTAAGGGATTGGATGGAGTGGAATTTAAGTATGTCCAAAGAAAATATTCTTATTCAGTATTTAGATGCACCCACTAGAGAAGGTGCAAATCGTGACCTACTCTTGAGAAATAAGGCAGGGCAGGTGACTGAAGTGTTGGTGGGGAAGCACTTTGGGGCCAGTGATCATAATTATATTAGTTTTAAAATAGTTATGGAAAAGGATAGACCTGATCGAAAAGTTAAAGTTCTAAATTGGAGGAAGGTCAATTTTGATGCTATTAGGCAAAAACTTTGAAAAGTTGGCTGGGGCGCGGGTATTTGCAGCTAAAGGGACAGCTGGAAAGTGGGAAGCCTTCAAAAATGAGATAACAAGAGTTCAGAGATTGTATGTTCCTGTTAGGGTGAAGGGCCATGATGGTAGTCGTAAGGAATGCTGAATGACTAGAGAAATTGAGGCTCTGGTCAAGAAAACGAAAGAAGCATATGTCAGGTTTCGACAGCAGGGATCAAGTGAATCCCTAGAGTATAAGAGCAGTAGGAGTATACTTAAGAGGGAAATCAGGAGGGCCAAAAGGGGACATAGCTTTGGCAGATAGGGTTAAGGAGAATCCAAAGGGATTCTACAAATACATTAAGGACAAAACAGTAACTAGGGAGAGAATTGGACCCCTTAAAGATCAGGAAGGCCACCTATGTGTGGAACTGCAGGAGATGGGTGAGATACTAAACAAATATTTCACATCAGAGTTTACTGCGGAAAAGGATAAGGAAGCAGGAGAACTTGGAGAAATAAATAGTGATATCTTGAAAAGTGTCCATATTACAGCGAACGTAGTGCTGAACGTCTGAAAGTGCATACGGGTGGATAAATTCATGGCACCTGATTGGGTGTGGCCTCGAACCTTATGGGAAGTTAGGGGATTGATTGCTGGGCCCCTTCTGGAGATATTTGTATCATTGATAACCATGGCTGAGGTTCTGGAAGACTGGAGGTTGGCTCACGTAGTGCCATTATTTAAGAAAAGTAGTAAGGAAAAGCCAGGGAACTATAAACCTGTGAGCCTGACATCACTGTTGAGTACATTGTTGGCGGGGATGCTGAGGAACAGGATTTACAAGTATTTGGAAAGGCAAGAACTGTTTAGAGATGGTCAATATGGCTTTGTGCGTGGGAAATCGTGTCTCATTAACCTGACTTTGTATTTTGAAGAAGTGAAGATGATTGATGAAGGCAAAGTGGTGGATGTTGTCAATACAGACATCAGTAAGACATTTGACAAGGTTCCACATGATAGAATGGTTAGCAAGGTTCGATCCCATGAAATACAAGGAGAACTAGCAATTTGGATACAAAATTGGCTCAAAGTTAGGAGACAGCATGGTGGTGGAGGGTTGCTTTTCAGACTTGAGGCCTGTGACTAGCAATGTGCCACAAAGATCGGTGTTGGGTCTATTCCTTCTCGTCATTTATGGAAATAATTTGGATGTGAATACAGGAGCTTTGGTTAGTAAGTTTGCAAATGACACCAAAATTGGCGCTGTAGTGGACAGCAAAGAAGGTTACCTCAGAGTACAATAGGACCTTGAGCAGATGGACAAATGAGTTGAGGAGCGGCAGATGAAGTTTAATTTGTAAAAATGTAAGGTGCTACTTCAGAACATAAACCAGTACAGCACAGCACAGGCCCTTCGGCCCACTATGTTGTGCTGAACTTTTACCCTAAACCTAAGGTCTATCTAACCTCCACCACTACCTTATACTATCATCCATATGCCTATCTAATTGCTGCTTAAATGCCCCCAATGAGGCCGACTCCACTACCCTCTCCGGCAATGCATTCCACGCCCCTACCACTCTGAGTAAAGAACCTACCTCTGACGTCTCCCCTGTATCTATCTCCACTTCACTTTAAAACTATGCTCCCTTGTAATAGCTACCTTCACCCTATGAAAAAGTCTCTGGCTGTCCACTCTATCTATATCTCTGATCATTTTGTACACTTCTATCAAGTCACCTCTCATCCTTTGTTGTTCCAAAAAGAAAAGCCCTAGCTCTCTCAGCCCTTCCTCGTAAGACCTTCCTCCATTCCAGGCAACATCCTGGTAAATCTCCTCTGCACCTTTTCCAACTCTTCCACATCTTTCCTGTAATGAGGCGACCAGAACCGGACACAATACCTCCAGATGTGG